GCTCACCTGAAAAAAGGAACAGTCAGGAAATCTGAAGGCTGGTTACCTACATCAAGCATCTCAAGAGAGAGCGAGATAGCAGACCCCCTGCTTCAGCAGATTGATAATATCACATCCTTTATTAAACAAGCAAAGGCAGCTAATAGGATAGATGAGGTACGTATGTTGCAAGAGAACCTGAGGCAGCTTCAGGATGAATATGATCAACAACAAACTCTGAAAGCTATTGAGCTTTCTAAAAGGCAGGCAGAAGAGGAAGAGATGCAGAGGGAGGAACTTCAGGTCCTTCGTGAGAAAGAGTGGGAAAGGGAACACCACAGAATCATGTCTCAGCATTCAAGGACATGCTCCTTAGACTTCAGAGAAGTCAAGCAGCACCAGCCTGAAGCTGCGAAAGAGAATTGGAACTTCACAGCACACGCATTGGATTTGGATATTACTCAGATCAAGGGGGTCCCAAGTCTTGAAACTCCTGCTGTTGAGCAGCTGCCAGCTAAAGAGCACGTGATCTTCACACTCAAACCCCAGAATGCTCCACAGTCTGGCAAAGACCAGGATCAGACAACCTGTCTAAACCCCTTTGAAGACGAAGCAGATAGCCCTCAGTCAGAGGAGGATCCTAACCCATTTGCCAAAGACACTTCTCCAATGGCTTCTTTCTCTAACACAGCTCTGCAAAGTGACAAAAAAGAATACAATCCGTTTGAAAATGAGGAGGATGATGAACAAACCAATGGAGCACCTGGCACTACTTCAAACCCTTTTGAAGAGAACGAAAATCCATTTCAAAAGCCTGGGGGCAGCTGGAATATTGGGAATCCATTTGAAGAGGGATCCTCTACCAATCCCTTTGAAGTGGAGGATGGCAGCGAGATCTCTGGAGAGGAAGCTATAGAGGAAGAGCTGCTTCTCCAACAGATAGATAATATCAAAGCTTACATATTTGATGCCAAACACAGTGGGCGAATGGATGAGGTGGAAGTACTGACAGAGAACTTGAAGGAACTGAAGCACACATTAGCAAAGCAGAAGCTGAAGTCCAACTCCTGAAGCAGCAGCAGGGCTGTGTAATTATTTTAGGTCTGCTGTTAAATCTGGGAAGGTAGAGCTGATACTCAGGAGGACAGATGACAAGAGGGAATTGTGAGAATCTTGACTTCGATGCACTTTCAGTTAGGTATTTCCACTACTACTCAGTCTTGAAAAAAGAATTACTAAAGTATGCTGCTCGTCTCCAATGCTTATACTAAGAAATCTTAAAATAACTTGTTACAACACTTTTTTAATTGTAATTGGTCTTATTTTGAGCTTGTTTTGGCCAAAGTGGTTAAGTGCTAATAGGGAACTATGAGTTGGAAGTGGTTGCAACGTCAGTTTGTCATCTTTGCCCCCTTCTATTACAGTATTGGCCTGTCAAGTGGGGCTTTGACTAAAGAGAGACAAACTTTTCTAAAATGTGTGCACCCTCTCATAATGATCCACTGCAGTGTGACAGGCAGACTTAACAGCCTCACGGTGTTAGGAGAAAGTGCTGTTAAAAGGCTACTGTCTTTGAGGAGCAGGACATAGAAGCTGCAGATCAATTTTGTGCAACACTAATACATGACAGGTGTTTTAAGACTGAGATGAACTTCATAACTGATCTTAATATGAGTAACTTTTTCATGTGTTTATAAAAATTCTGAAGTCAAATTTGCATGCTGTCTTTTCATTACTTTGTTTCCAATTTGCTCTGAGCACAAAGGACCGTGTAACAGAGAGCCCTGCTGGCTTCAGAGACCTTGTGAGGGAACAAATACCTCCTCATTTCCCGTGAGATCAGGCTAGCATTGTTTCATACTATAATATAAAGAGTGACCCTCCAAGTTCCTAATTATCGTATAGAACTACACATTCCTTTAAATTTTGGGGGTGACAGAATGATCATGTTTGTAACTTGTGAGACTGGAACCCTCTTCGTAGTATTCAAGGAAAAAAAAAATCTTGTTTACAGTGGAGAGCTGAAGTGCCACTGAACTGGAATTTTGTGAAAGCTGGAAGACGGAGTTTGTGGCTGCAGTAGTCCTAAGTGGCAATTCTGAGGGGATTCAGATATGAAGAGATGTTACAACAATCAGGCATGTCTTAAATAAGAAGCTCCAAACTGGAGTCATCTTGTGGTGTGGGGGCTGACTGGGCGACAGCCAGCGCCTCCGGTGCGGGGCTCTGACTGGGCTCCTGAAGGCTGGTGTAGAAACGTAGGGGCCACTTCAGGCCTAGGTCTGCCCGTCTCTTTGGGAAAGATGGAGCATGGGCTGCTTCGATTTTTGTCTTTGGAGGGCAGAGGTCCATCATCGGGTGTTGGTGTTTGAAAGGGTGGTGTAGGGAGGAGTTAAAGGGCCTTATTTATTTAGAGCTGAAATAGGGGAAAATTGGGCAAATCATGCTGTATAGCACTAATGATGCTAATAGCACCAATACTTTATGAAATGGCACATGTCTTAACTATGTTTCTAATACTCTATTAGCATAGTGATGATCCAAGCATTGAACAGTACTTTGGAGACACAAATAAACTACCTGAAGAGCAGGGTCTCTAGTTTTAGCTTGCTGTAAATAAATGGAGGTAGGTACTTGGAGAACTATTTTTTCAAAGGAACATGCCACCTAGATCCTCAATGGCACTAGTAACTGATCAAAACCACTCCTGAGCAGCCAGTTAAGGACAGCTGATGTTCTTCTTGCTGTAGCCTAAATCCAAAATTGAAAGGTGTGCCGGACAGGTTGTCTTAAGACCGTGAAGTTTTTATACTGAGATGCTTTATTAGAGTCGATTGAGTCCCTGACTGTTATTTTACACCAAGTGAAATGAAGAGAGCAATCTGAAAGGTTCTAAAACAGCAAAATGTGTGCTATGGCAAAAAAAAAAAAGTTGAGCTAGCTAAACATAATCCCTGGAATTGTTGTAACGGACATAGTATAAGGTGGTCAATACAGACTTGTTTGCTAGTCAAGAGGATTGCTCCCTGCACTGTAACCCAAAACTTTTTTGGTATAAATATGAGAAAAAGTTTGTGGCTTCAGCTTTCACATCTAAAAAGTGTGTTTTCTGTCTTGCAACTGTCTTGCCTTGTTTCTGTTTTCAGTCTTACACGCTAATAATTCAGATACCCTTATTATACAGGTAACATATTCTACAAGCAGGTGACAGGCTAGCATACCTCATGGTCTTTGTCAGTGTTAAAATGTGATAGACTAGACATCCGATACTGAAGTCCTCTCTGAAGTGAAGACCTTATGCTGGTATCTGGGCTGCTCCAAGGCTCACGAGGCACAACAGAATGAAGATGTCTTAACCCTAAAGCTCAATAAATAACTAGCATTGACTTTGGTTAAAGCTGCATGTACTACTCTGTATGGAAACTTTGTAAACAGATGGAATAAAACAACGTTTATTTTGTGCTGTTGGTCTGTGGCAGTTTTTACAGGCCGTGCCAGTCCGTGTGGAATTCTGTACTCGAGCACTGGCACAGGACCCTGCCCTGCAGTTCTGGGTAGCTGGGGTCAGTGTGGCTCAGGGGCGTGGGGATGGACCGGGGCTGGCTGAGCTGAGCTTCCCAGGGCAGCCTCCTGGTGCAGGGCCTTTGTGCTGGGAGTCAGAAGGGTGTTGGTAGCACCCGTGTTGTGACTGCCCCTGAGCAGAGCTCGCACAGCACCGAGGCTCTTTCTAACGTTGCCCCCGCAGTGGGAGGGGGGGCAGGAGCCTGGGGGGACAGAACCAGCACAGCTGCTGACCAAAGGGATATTCCAGACCATGTGACATCAGCTTGACTACAAAGCTGGTACAAAGTGGGGGGCCCCCTACTCCTTGGTCCTCCAAAGCAACCACTACACATTTTGGAGCTCTGCTTCCCAGAAAGGGGCCAGATATTGCCCAATGATGGGAAGTAAGGGATAATTTTCTCTCTTCCTTTTGCATGCAATATTGCTTGACTTCTTCTGATTGAACTACCTTTGTTTCTACCCACAAGGGTTTTGTCTCCCATCTTGTTTTCCTTTCCACTTTTGCTCTGCAGAGGAGGGAGAGGAAAGGGGGAAGGTGACAGGGTGGCTTGGTGGGCATCCCTTGCTCAGCCAGGGTTAACCCACCACAGTGTAATTACCAAATTCCTAGAAATACAGTGCAATCTATCACATGCTTACACACTATTATAGGTGTAGTGTAATTGTTGAGGCAGAAGCTGTGATGATGTAGAGAGGTTTTCTGACTAGTGCACTGGGAGCAAGAATGAAGCAAGAGGGAATACAGAGCAGCACTGGGCTTTGAACTATGATCGACTTGCTGGCTACAGTTTGCTGGAAGATGATAAATCTGGACAGACTTCTCCTTTAGTGGGGGTTTGTTTGGTTTTGTTTTGTAAAAAGGAGGACTGTTTTAAGAAAATGCCTTAAGAGTAGCTTTACTTTTTTTTTTGGAAGCAGTGAAGATAATGGTAAGGCATACCTTTCAAATACCTACTCACATGTTCTCCTTTACTGCTGATATTCTTGACTTGATTGCTGGTTCTGAGAGCTGAGGTGTCGATATCAGAAGCTCTATCTTGTAAATGAGACTTCTAACTGTTCCTGTGTGGTAACTAAATAAATTGCAGCATGTAGTTTGATCATGGAATTACATCATCATTTGGCTGTCTTCAGTTAGTACATGATGGGAAAAGGTAGGACTACTTTTACGCCACTTTCTACAAATTGTGGAATTCTGTGCTGCTTCTGTAATAAGTTGTTTTAGTCTATCCATGCCAAACCAAATGTGATATTGTTTTTGCCACAACTTTACACACGCAGGCATGAGTAGCAAATAGGGCTCTAGTAATTCTGTCTTCCTTGTTCTGTTTTCCTTTTATGCAGTTTTGACTATAATGTTTTGTAAAACTGGCACCAAAAAAAGCTGCGTTTTAACTTTTATTTATTTTTCATTTTAATTATTCTGCTTGTAGTTGTAAAAAGACTTGGGAAACAAGGTTGCCTGTATTACATGAACTTGCTTGTTCATGTTTCCAAGAGCCGTTAGCTCCTGTCTCTCACTGAAGTACCTTGATCATCCAGCTCTGCAGAAAAACAACTGCATGCCTTGTCAGGCTGATGCTTCTTTTTTCATAGCAGCTTTGTATTTTCCCCTCATTTCTTTGGGCAGTGGCACAAAAGCAGGGCAGGGAACTTGGCCTTCAATTTCACACATGCATTCTCGCAGATGGTACTTCTTCGGCCCAAAAGTTGCTGGATGTGACAATTTTTTTCTTTCTCTTTCCTCTTTTTCAAGTGTTTCTCTAAAGGAGAAATTTGTTACTGTCAGAAGCCTGAATGGCAACATTTCCTCTCCCTTTCCTAGACCAAATTTACCCAAAGGATGGATTTATAGTTTCTAGTCTATGGACTTTACCTAACTCATGTCAATTTTGTCTGGGAAAAGTGGTATTTCCTTCTGTATACCTGACACCTGCAATGATTGCATTATAATGTATGCTAGACTGTACGTTAGCCAATTAAGTGTTACTTACTTGCTTTTCCCCAAGATTTTTTTAATGTGCTCAGTTATCTCTTTGTTGGTTTTATCTTCCACATCGACCAATACTTGTTCTCCGTTGTCTGTCAAGAAAGATTTGCAATAGTGTGTCAAGCGATGCCCCTTCCCTGCTGTGTGGTGCGGCACAACAGGCTGCACCAGGTGTTTAAACACAGAACACTAACACATCTGCTTCTGTACCACAGTCAGCATACACTGTGACCAATGTTTCAAAAGAAAACTCAGAGCTTTCACAGCATCACATGCTGCTTTGAGGGGGAAGGGACTTCCAAAGGCCATCGAGGTAAGCAGGGACCTCCCCAACTCTGGACCAGGTTGCTCAGAGCCCCACCGAGCCTGACCCTGAATGCCTCCAGGGATGGGGCCTGCACCCAACCTCTCTGGGCAGCCTGCTCCAGTGTTCCACCACCCTCATAGTACAGAACTTCCTCCTGACCTCTAATCTAAATCTACCCTGCCCGAGTTTAAAACCATTGCTGCTCGTCCATTCATCTAGTGCGACTCCGGGCAGCTAGCAGCAGCGTGAGGCAGGGGAGGCGAGCACAAGGTGTCTGCCAACGCTGAAAGCCACTTTTCTAGGAAACAAGCACTGCTCTTCCCAGTTTGCAGCCCGCGACACGGGGGCCAAGTCGGAATGACAGCAACCACGCTCCTCGTGCGAAAACGGCCGCCGCTCTGACGGCTCAGGCGGGAGAGGGGCCCGGGACGGGAGCGGCCTCGAGGCAGGCCCGCGGCACCTACCCAGGTAGAAGCGCAGGAAGGGCGAGGGGGTCATGTTCCTGAACAGCATGATCTGCACCCAGGGGTTCTTGTACTGGATCTGGGGGATGTTGAAAAACACAAACTTTCTGGAAAAAAGGAGAAGAAAAACACAAACGCGAGCCGCGATGTCTCG